ATAAAAATATCAGAATTATCCTTTTGAATTTAGGGGTATTACAGGACACTTTCACAATCTTTCTCTTCTCTCTCTTCCTTCTTATAACTTTCTTTTTCCAGCCATTCATGTACCCGAGAGATGACACAGCATGTACCAATTGCTCTGTTTCTTTGGAAACAATTATCTATGGAAGTAAAAAAAGAAAGAAGAACAAATTTAAGAAAAGAAATGAGAACTCTTTCTTGTTTTGCTAACAAATAAAAATCTGATTCTATTTTGGGCTTTGGGAGAAGAAGATACAATAAAGGGCGGACTTTTGAAATTTCAATTTTCAAATTGGCTGCAACACTGTTACGATATATGTATATATTATGCGTATAATTCATATATATTCTATATATAATTTATATTTTCATAAATACAGATTTTAACTTTTTTACTTTTAAAATTGGCCAGAACAGGAACACTGTTCCAATGGAGAGTACGTATTTTGGTCCAAATATATATATATATATATATGGACGAAATTGGCAGGTTGATGGTAAAATGAGCCCAACCAAACTTTCTCTTATTGGAAACGACAAATAGTACTTGAACCAACAAAACACGATTTTTTTTTTTCTTTTTTTCTTTTTTTTTCTTTCTGTTGTCAATAATTGATTTTATATTACTCCTTGTTAAAATTAATTTTTTATGATAGTGAAATTTTAATAATTTTTTTATTATATTAATAAAATTGAAATTTCAAATATGCTCTTGTTATAAAAAATAAAAAAAATAGAACATTCCATTTTGGAATGTGACATGACTTTTGGGACATTCTAAAATAGAAAGCTAGACAAGTATTTTAAAACAAATGAGTAAAAATTATGGTAGGTTTTTTTTTTTTTTTTTTTTTTTTTTTTTTTTTTTTTCAATTGATACTCATAAACACAGTCTTTTCTGAGACTTAAACCCCTGACCTCTCTTTGGAAGTAAGAGAATGATACAGTTAGGCTATTAATCCGTTGGTATAAATTATAGTGTTAGTACTTGTGGTTTTTTTTTTGTTTTTGTTTTTTTAGCAAGCACAAACCTAATCTTTGGGACAGAGTGCATAGATCTTGAAATCAAGTCAGAGAGACATATTGAACATGATTAAAAAATCAACTTACGTGTGTGTTCCAAGAGTATAGTAATTAAGATTCAAAATAGCATTTCGTTGTTTGTAAATAAAAAAAATAAAAATAAAAAATTGCAATAAAGAAAATTTTCAAAATACAAAATATGAACATTAGGTGTGGAATAAATTTAAAGAAGAAGAAGAGAAAAAGTTACCCAGAGAGAAAAAAAAAAATGTTATTATACGTACATCATAAATATATAATTGCAAAAAAAAAAAAAAAAAAAAAAAAAAAAAAAAAAAAAAAAAAATAGGAGATAACTTTGGAGGGAAAAAAATAAGAGTTTATTTGAAGAAAAAGGATGTATAATATTTCAAAAGAAATTAAATGTGACAATCTGGATTTTTAAGACTTTAAATTATATTTATTTCATAATTTTTATTTTTATGTCATTGGAGGTTTATTAATTGGAGATTGAATTTTTAATAGGAGACTTATAGTTTATTTAATTTTTGTGACATGTTATATAAATATATGTATATATATATATATATATATATATATATATATCAATTAGAGAGATTGAGAAAGGAAATTGAAGATAGAAATGGATTTGGTGGGCGGCGGGTCCCACTGGAGATAAGAAAGTGATGGGTTTTGATTGTTTTATTGTATTAGTGTGTGTATATATATATACACACACACATTGCATCTGAAGAAAAAAAGAGACGTTAATTGAAGTAAAAGAGAAGGAAAGCAGGTCTGCCTACTTAGAGGAAATTGGTTCTTTGAGGGTCCCACTTTGAGACTTTTTGGTCATTGCCATTTTTTACTTTGATTTTGTGCACATGGCTGGTTAGGGATGACAAATTCCTTATTTTCGTCGAGTTTTCGCCCTGCCTTGTTTCCCTCCGCCTCATCTCATTCCACCTCGTTTATAATAGGGATAGAGATCTTTTTATGTGAACGAGAATAGGAATAGGGATAAATTTTGAAAATCCAACGGAGACGGAAGCAAGGGCCGAGAATGAATAAACATGTCCCGCCCTGCTCCGATTAAATATAAAATTATTAATATAGCATACATATAATGATTTATTACTAAATTAGATTTAGTATATATATGAAAATAAGAAAAATTATATATATATTTAAAATATATATATATATGTTAATCGGGCTGGGGTCGGGAATAAGGGGGCGAGGGCGGGGCCGGGGGTGATGGTGAAATTTTAAGCGATGATGGAGATTAAAAAATTCAATAGGGATGTAAAATGAGATCCTCGATTCGCTCCGTTGTCATCCCTATGGCTGGCTTTGTGTACGTGGGTTGATAGGTTTTGTGTATAGAATGATTAGAAACAGATAAATGAGGAGATAAAGATAAGAAAGATAAATGAGATATTATTGCATGTGTCGGTGGAATGGCTCATAAGTATCAATATTTATTTGGTAAGGAAGCAAATAAGGAAATAGAGGAACACACTGAGCGAGAGTCCAGAGAGAGAGAAACCTGAGATGGTCTAAATGCTCAGATGATTCATTGATTTTATTCTTTTACAGGGTAGGGGTCTTCATATTGAATGGTATGGATGATTTTGTTTCAAATATTTTATTAACTGTTATTTTGCTAAAATTACATATATGTATTTTGTTTAAAAACATATGTATATTTTTGTGAAGTTAATTTTGTATGAAACTTTTTGAAATCCTTGTTATGGTTCTTCCTACTGGGACTTTTCCGTCTTCAGTTTCAGGTACCATTGATTGCTAGTTGTGACCTTAGGTGGAAGAGTTGGCGATTTAATTTATTTGGAGATATTGTATATTTTTATTTGAGGAATTGATCTTGTATCAATAAAAGGATATTGTTTTTTGTGATGATGGGTGAATACTAATGTATTTGGATTTGAATAAATTGAAGAATTTTATTTAGAAAATCCGGAACGTGACATTTAATGAAAACAAAGAGTAAAAGAGAAAATAAAAAGAATAAGAAATATTTTTAGAATGATGAAATTTTGGGAGTTGCAATTTCAAAATATTAAATCCTTGAAAAATGAAGCACATGATTACCAAAAAAAAAAAAAAAAGGTACGAAATTAAAAAAGAACTAATTGAGGAGTCCCACCCTATCATTGTCAAGGAATAAAAAAAATTCAAATAATAGATACTATGCAGCTACTTTTTTTGAGCGGATACAAAACATTAAACGAGTAACCAAACTGGTAGAGTAATGTATTTGGATTTGGATAAATTGAGGAATTTTATTTAGAAAATTGACATTTAATTAAAAAATAGAGTAAAAGAGAAAATAAAAACGAATAAGAAATATTTTTAGAATGATGAAATTTTGGGAGCTGCAATTTCAAAATATTAAATCATTGAAAAATGAAACACACGATTACCAAAAAAAAGGGGTACGAAATTAAAAAAGAACTAATTAAGGAGTCCCACCCTATCATTGTCAAGGAATGAAAAAAAATTCAAATAATAGATATTATGCAGCTACTTTTTTGGGCGGATGCAAAACATTAAATGAGTAACCACATTGATAGACTATAAGTGCAAAATATTGAATGAGGTACCACACTAATAGACTATAAGTGCAAAACATTGAACGAGTTACCACATTGGTATATCATAAGTGTCATGATCTCACATTACTTGAGAAATGTGAAGTGCTATATATAAATTCAATACCCTTTTATGACCAGGGATGGGGGAGTTAAGGCCCAGAGGTGGCACATGCCTCCCTGAATTTTCTCTCCCTTTTATATATATATATATATATATATATATGTTTTTCATAAAAATATAAAAATTGCCCCCCTGAATTTTCTCTTTCCCTTATAATATTCTATATATGTTGTTTTTTTTTCCCCCTCTTAAATAGTTTCCTTAATTCTTATATTCTATATTTATAATTAATTTAATCCCAAAAATATCACTATATATATATATATTTATATATATATATATATATATATATATATTATGGTGTACAATATTACAAAATGGTTCCCTTCTTGAACAAATTTTCTAGCTCTATCCCTGTTTATGACACAACAAATTTTAAAATTGTGATGGCATGAACCAATTAGAATTCCGCATTTAAGTGTGCTTATGTAGGAGTAATACTGAGATGGGCAACCTTAGAGATGGAACCAGCTGAAAATGTGGCCAACGAGGACGTTGGACTCCATAGGATGATTGTGATGACCTCTGCAAGTATGTGTAATGTGGACAAATTCGAGACACTAAGTCAACTTCCTGACATGTTAGACATCATGGGCCTGTTACACTGGCCTCAAAATGGACTTTTAAGCCAAAAAAGTTTTTTGCCAATAATAAAGAGGGTTTGGTAAATTTTTAAAAAAATGGACTTTTAAAAAGTCTAAGTGGTTTAGAAGCTCAATTGGCTTCCTGATCGATTTCCCACAAGCTACACACTTTTTTAAGTAATAAATATAAAATTTCTATATTATCCATTATTTAACCTAATTCCATAATTTCATTGTAAACTTTTATCTTTCTCTTTCTATATCATCATCTTCTTAGTTGGTTTTTATTTTTATTTATTTTTCTTCACTTCTTTGTACATTCCAATTCAACTCTTTGCTATTATTCATGATTTATTAAGGATATAATTGTCAAGTTAAATTATGTTAATAGTTAAAAGAGCTTCAAAAATTTTACCTACCAAACAAAATTCTTTTCATCAAAATGTATTATTCTTCAAAGTCGTAATTTTAGAAACTGAAAACTCCCCCCAAAAGAGCCCAAACTTCAAGCATGCTTATGCTGGAAGGCTGTTACATACTAAATAAAGCAAGTTGAACTTATTTGATATGGATCAGATTGGCTTGCGATTTTCCATACCCTTTTAGTTTGTTGTAGTTCGCACTCACTCTCTTTCCAAAAAAAGAAAGATATTTATATTTACCCGAACTAGGGCATAAAAGAAGAGATCTCCGTCATATTTACTTATTTAGGGTAAAAGTACCCAAAAAAAAAAAAATCAGCACACACACTTAACATTCTCTCTCAGTGGCATGATGAAACATAACATTCTCTCTCAGTGGCATGATGTAACATATGAATTGAAAGCTCCAAGTGCTTGGGAAACAAAAAAACTACAAAAATTAAACCATTAAATGAGTTTCGATCCCTTGGTGATGACCTAAAAGATTCCAGAGGTCCACATCAATCGAAAAGTCATTCCAAAAATTATTGCTTTCTTGAACAGAAGTAGTCATGTTGTCATCACCTGCTGCCATTGTTGCTGTTGCTAGTAGCTCTTCAGCAGTACCCCAGAGGCCTGTAATATTGGGCTCCTTATGATCCAATAATTCACCCATGGACAATGTGTTTCCATTATTATTATTGTCAATTTCAATGTTTTCCCACCATGACATTTCATGATGACCAAGTCCTAGATCAGGTGATGAAGTAGTCGGAGATGGCCTGTTTAGAGTTTCTCCTGATTGAATTAAGGAGACGTTTCCCATAAACAGAGTTGGTTTTTTGGTGAAGGTGCGAGGCCGTAGTATGTTGGCTTTTGTGATCATCTTATGGGGTTTGGACATAGCCTCTAATTTCTTACCACCAACTAGCTTCTTCTGCAGGTGAGTGTTCCAATAGTTCTTCACATCGTTTGCAGTTCTATCAGGAAGTCTACCGGCAATTTGTGACCATCTGCGTAGAACAAGGTAAATATGAAATATAAAGTTACACATCTTTTTTTCTCCCCGAAAATTCCAGTAAGCGAACAAAAGCGTAGTGTATGATAATCAGATGCATGCTGTTTTACTTCTACATGTACATTAAAAAATAATAAAAAAGTTAGACTTGGTACGGTTATTAGCACAGAAGTTTCCTTAATAACTTGCAATTAAGATTTAATGATTTGCTTTTAATTTCTCAAGGAGACAAAGAATGGAAAAGCTGAAGAATGAAAGGACAACAAATGATTTTTTAATGTACACTTGATACGCTCTGAGGTGGCCCCGTTATTTCTCTTTATATTTTAATGCAGACTGATAGATATGGACACTTTACTGACTTGCTAATAAATAGGGAGATATGGGTAAAAGATTGGGGTTCCCGGTGATACGTGTCAATGACTAATACATTAAAGTTCGTTCTAGAGAGATGAAATCGAGTTCCTTAGTTTATTTATATTTAAACAATTCTTAAATTTTATTTTAAAAACATCATAAAAGATTTTTCCCTAAAATAAATATTTTTTAACTGAATTCTTAAAAAAATAGTTATTTCAAACTTGTCAACTAATTATCTATGAGTTATCTGAAAACAAAAAACTAAACTAATTAAACTAGTCATTTTTTTTCCAAAAGAAATTAATCTATCATTGACTATATAGTTCAAACCAAACATGGACATTGTTTTCTAAATATTTTATTAACAGTGAAAAAAATAAATCATATCCTTGCCGGTAGCTTATAATTTAATTTAGTCATATATTACTTACACACACAAACATGCATAAAAATTGCACTTAATTACCTATTCCCTAACAGCTTATGAAGTCTAACAATGAGATCAACTTCATCTGCTGTAAACTCTCCTCTCTTTATGTTTGGCCTCAAATAGTTCAGCCATCTCAATCTACAGCTTTTCCTGCACCTATTCAAGCCTGCAAATACACCACACACAAAGTATAAGTATATATAATGTCTTCAAAACGTGTCGGGATCTCTGCTGTAAAGCATCACACCGCTCACAATCCAGAAGATTTACCTGCCATATGAGGAACTTGGTGCCATTTTCCTTCTCCATTCTTCTCTACGCACTTTCTTAGCAGATGATATTCTTCTTCAGTCCAAGCACCTTTTCTCACTCCTAATGGAGTACTGATCTCCTCCATATTATATGGTTCTGATCGAGTTCCGACTTCAATGGCTGGCTTGCACTGCAAATTAAACCACACATACATATATATTTATAAACGAAAACTTGGCGGATCTCTAGCTTGGAAGCAGAGACCAAGACGTAGCTTGATCGACGTGTTTATTTGCCAACCACAAAAACCCACCTTTACGTGAACGGTAGAGGGACATTATAACAGTCCAAGCTCTCATTTCTCAATCAACTACCATTCCAACCCCTTCAAAACCGTTAGGAGTCTCTGTATACACAATGTGGACAATTTCGTTTTGAGTCGTAACCATCATTATTTCAACGCAATTACTAGCTTTAACACAACTTAGAAACTCTTAATTTTTAATTTTTATTCAATTTGTTTATTTGTCATAATTGAACTTTTTTCACACATGCATCAAGTAATAACATCTGCCATGCAATATGGGCACACTGTGTGGTTGTCAGTTGTGAAAACACGAGTTGGATCGGAATACAAGAATTTTAGAAAAGATAAAAACAAATAATACTTAATTGAGTTTATGGCTTTACTAGGAGATGGCCCCCAAAGACTAGTTGATGTAGGTCCCAAGCCATACATCCGAACATGGCCACTTCTTTCTTTTCCCCTAACTTGGGCATAAAAATTGTGGGGTGAAGGTTCATCCGGTTTAGAAGGCAGAGTTGCAGCAAGCTCTTCTAATTGTGTGTGCATACATAGAATGGATAAGGAAACACAAACTTGACAAGCCAAATACCATTTTGTACTCCAGCCAGATAAGTTCGCAAAAGCAAGAAAGTCACTTATAGTCCGCAATAACGCTGCATGCATGCAAAACATCCCTTTTCTCGATGCATCATAGGTATCCACCCCTTCAACCCATAGTACCTTTAATTCTTCTATCAAAGGTTGCAAATATACATCAATATCATTTCCAAGACCTTAGGCCCAGGGATTAAGGTGGATAGTATGAAAAAAGGTTGTTTCATGTACTATGTGCAATACTCATAGTCCTGAATGGGTTGAAACCGTCTGTTGCTAGCCCAAGTCTAACATTTCTAGAAGACCTAGCAAACTCTGGATACTTTTTGCCAAAATGATCCCACGTTAGAGAGTCAGCAAGATGTCTTAACTTTCCATCTTTTATGCGTTCTTCCTCATGCCATCGCATATCTAAAGCTGTCTTATTTGACATGAACAACCGTTGAAGTCTTGACTTAAGAGGGAAATACCTTATAACTTTGGCTGGAATTTTCGTCTTTTTTGATTGGGGGGGAGGGGATGTACTTGTACTACCCTTGAAATGAGTGTCAAAATCCTTCCACCTAGACTTGCCACATTTATGACATGTTTCATCATTAGCGTACTCCTTCCAGTACAACATACAATCAAAGGGACATGCATCAACCTTATCATACTTGAGACTTAAGTCACTAATTATCTTTTTTGTCAAGTAAAAAGATTTTGGCAGTCTCACCTTCTGGTAGTACATCTTTAAAAAACATTAGCAAGTCACTAAATGATTTATCAGTCCAATAATGCTAAGTTTTCAACAAATATAGTTTCACTCTAAAAGACAGCTTCGTAAAGTCTTTACACCCAGGATATAGATATGTTTTTCCATCATCTCTTGTAAAACTTATCTGCCTCCCCGATGATACTCATTTTCCCTATCAGCTTGTTCACCCATTTCATTTTGAATTCCAAAACCCTCATATAAGAGTTCGTGCATGTCATCATTATTTACGTTGGAGTCGATATGCTCGTATGAGGTGTCCCCATCATTATGCCTAGAAGACAAAGGTAATTGTTCTCCATGATAAATCCAAATTGTGTATGTATTAATAAACCCATTCCACATCAAGTCATCCAAAACTTCTTGCCTTGTTTTCTTGATACAATTCTCACACTTGTTACACAGGCAATATATACGTCCACTCTGCCCAACACGCTCAAATGCTGTATCTAGAAATTGTTCAACTTGATTCGAGTATGTAGTACTTATCCTATTTGTATAGTAAGAAAAATGAAGTCAAAATGAATATATATATATATATATATATATATATATATATATATACTTTTAAAAATTAACGAGACTAAAATTTAAAGCACCTTGAGTCCGTAATCCAACTTCTATCATAATGTAACCTAGTAAAACAAACAACATATGAATCTTAAAACTCTGTTGGTCAACTTCTTTGAATTACTGGAGTTCATAGTTCTTTAATCAATAAACTACTTCTATCTACTTGGGACAATACATGAACAGAATTACTATTAAATGTCCTAATTAGCATCACCAATAAAGTCAAACTCGCTGTTCAGTCAATTTTTTTTATTTTGGTTGAATGTATTAATTTTTTTATAGTCGTCTATAGGTTTACCTGTCTTTCCTGTTACACTTTCAGCTTTGAAGTCCATCTTCTTTTATTTGAGTTAGTATTTTAATTTTTTTTTTGGGATTCCTTTAGGATCTTCACCGCCATACTTGAGCGACCAAGACATGTTTTGTTTTATTTGTTTTATGCTTTTTAGTGGAGCACCAAAATTGTTTGGTTGAACTGTAAATCGAACTATCCTCATCCATCATGGTGCAGTCTTTCTAATGGACGTAGAGTTCAAAATATACCAAAAATTATACGATTAAGAAACGTAGGAGAATGAAAAAAAAATAAAAATAAAAAAAATTTACATGATATAGGTTTTTATCATATCATGAATGAAATGTAAAATTTTAAAAGTAGGAGAATGAATTTCAACTCTGAAATCAGATTTTTTCTAATGGCTACAATTCTGCGTGATATAGGTTTTTATATCTTTTGGGTCAGATGGCAAGTTATTCTTTTGTACATCACCACATTCAGTGAATCAGTGGGGGTGGGGGGCAACCAAAATAGACTGACTACCAAACGTTGAGTCTCTTTCTTGGCGTGATGAATTTAGTCTTTGTTTAAAGTTGACATGTGCAACTCTACTGTTTGTACACCATTTACCTCTCCTCTTCCTCTGCCCAATTGACCAAATTGTGATTCCACTGCCCTTTTCTCTAAGAACTTTATAATGAATTGCACTGCTTGGGCGGTAAGCGATGGTTAAAATTGTCCTATATTGCCTGATAGATCTGAAATCGTTCGGGCATATAAACACGGGCCATGAAATTTTTTTATTTTTTTATTTTTTTTCTTTTCAGGGCAAGAATATTAAGGGTTAATGGTTATGTTAGAAGAGAGAAGGATGGATGGTGAAAGGGGCTGCTAGATACGAGGAGTAACCCAACCACATGGCACTTGTGCATGAAATTTAGGGGACACAGTGAACATGATACAAATGAAGCAAAAGATAGAAAGCCATTACAGTTGTTAGAAGAAATTTCACACTCCAGGCAATACAGATTTAAGGTCAGACACATTTTTACAGCTTAGCTGTAACATATGGAGAAAAAAACATTGACAAACAAATAACAGGAGAGAAGTTAATTAATAGTACAAAGAACAGGAGAGAAGTTCATTACACCTAACCTTAACATTATCTGCCCAAGTTGCATTCTCAAGTATGATAGGTACCAAGCAATTAATATATAAAAAAAACGAACATGTATTTTTGAATAATAAACTGGAACATTTTCCACAAGATTTATTCAAGGTAGTAATTTGACAATTATATGATGCTGGGAAAACCAATAATTACATTACTTTGTTGAACCCTAATAATTACAACTTTCAGCATCTATTTGAGCCAGCAAAAGTCAAGCATTTCATAGTCCAAGACATTAAGAAATGAAAAATGCATGAATGGGTGTACCTTATAAGTCGAGATAAAACAATTCTGCTATGTTTGGCAGATAGGAAAAGAAAAGAAAAAAAAATTAATACAAAATTTGAATTAAACTTCTTGCAATCCCAAATGGATGGCACCGATTCGGTGCTCTCAAATATAACATCGGTACATTGTTAAAATAGAGGGCATATCCTTTCAAAAAGGTCCAACAATACAATGAAAAAACCTATTCCCATAGGAAATACAGCAAAAAGCACCCTTGCACCCACCAAGAGAAAACTGAGAAAGCCTCGTCAGACTAAAAACAAAGTGGTTGTAGAACTTTTCTAATGATAATAAAACAGCTACAAGTTCCAATATTCATACATCATACACACACCCATATACATATAAAAAAAGACTTTTGTGTCTCAACCAAGCTTAATACTATACAATATTTCATCAATAGGATTTAAGTGTTACTCCACAAAAAGTACACACAATAGCATTCAAAGATTTCTTATACATCTATTGTGTGTATACACAATACAAATATGAATGATTTGAGGAGAATACAGTTTTGGGTGCTGAATCTCTAGAAACCCGAGAACCCCAATAGTGCAGTCTAAATATTAAGGATGAGTACAATTGTGGTGCAAGTAAAAGAAGATTTAAATAATTTTTTATAAACTTCCAAAATCGTATTTTCTAACAGGTTACAAGTTTATGAACTTCCTAAATGGTATTTGCTATTATGGAGGTCTGAAAAAAATAATTTTTTAACTGAAAACTATCCCCAATCAGGATGACTGCAGATATCAGCATATGTTATTAGTCAAAGAAAAAAGGAATGCTATAAAAAGGAATGATATATAGATCTACGCAGCAAACCAAGGAGCAAAAGGGCAAGGAAGCTTTGTCTGATTTGGTGCGAATTTTCATCTCAAGAACAAGAAGGGGAAATCAGGGTTTAAAGTGCTTACAACTTACAGGAGACCAACCCTTCAACCACCACTGTCCAAACCTCCGATGCACCACCAGCGCACCACCAATCAACCACAGCCGCCGTGCTCTTCCCTGAGCCACACCATGCGCACCACCAAGCCCTGATGTCGTGGGTAAGAGAGAAGAAAGGAGTCACGATATGAAACCTAACCCAAACCCAAAATGTGCTATATTAGGAAAAAATAATAATAAATAAAATAATAACAATTAAATTATTAATGGCACACAGTTTATAACTGCCGGAAATAATTTATATTTTCTAGCGCTTTTAAAAATTATGCCGGAAATAATTAATATCTTCCGGCACTTTTTAATATACCGCCGGTATAAATACAAATAACGGCGGATTCTACTATACCGCTGGAAATA